CAGTTTGATAAGTATTTATCCACTGATTTTTAGGTGAAGCCTATAAGGATTGAGTAGTTGTTGTCTTGTTAACTTGAATTTGAACTGTTAGTACTATATGTTTGGACTTGTTAATTTTAAGGCGAAATTGCTACTACTTTGCATTATTATTAATGTATTTGGACAACTGTTGTTGAAGAATTAGTACTATTCCAGTTGTGGCCACTGGACAAAACGCAGAAATGGGTAGTATACTATATGTAAATTCTTCTGTTTTTTGCTTAACTCCAGTGAATTGTCTTCTCTTTTTTGCTTAACTCTAGATTGAGTTATCTTATCGGGTAAACCGATAACCGAATCAATAATGATTGATAACCGATAAACCGATACCCAATAACTGATATCTTATCGGTTCGATTATCAGTTTATCAAATTTGTAGACCGATAACCGATATGCTAAACCAATAATATTCATAATCGAACCGACCGATGCCCACCCCTACTCCAGTCTTCTTCAGTGCTGATCTCTCCATTTTCTTCAAGTTAGAACTTGTATTTCTTACACCTGCTTCCGCCAAAAAGGAAAAGAGAGAGATACTGAAAAATACGCCAAAATATATTTGGGATTTATTTGGCAAATACATGTTTGACCACAACTTTTATCCATATTTTGCCTAATTCCCAAAACCGAAAACCCAAATTCCAAAACCAGCTCAAAATATTTTGCCAAAAGAGCTGGTTTTGGCCCAAAATAGCCGGGGAAAGTTTATTGGCAAGAGGGAACCATTTCTCACCCAGCCCTACTATTATTATATTTTTTTTAAAATTCCCCGAAACTTTTATATTTTATAAAAAAGCCCACCATTTATTATTTTGTAACAATGTTGCTTCGTCTTCTCGGTCATATGATAGTGTATTATGTAGTTCATTATAAAAATGATAATTTTGTACCAAATTTATTTATGTTCAGGATTATGGTTTGTGATATTGATAATGAATGTTATTAATGAAGGTACAATTGGATATTTGTGATAGTTTCTAGAACTTGTGGGTATAAGTCATGTTTCATATTTTTTTCTAAAAAAATAGTGAAATATGTTTTGAAAACTGATGTCCAACCATATTTTCATCGTCAAACCAAACTCCACCCAAATCAAATTTTTCAAAATAAATTTGGGAATCTATTGCCATACCTAGCTAAGGGTGTGTTATAAAGGAAAATATTTTCCCTGGAAAATGAGTGATTTTTACCAATTATTTCCCCTTATTTGGTTGGTGAGCGAAAAACTTTTTCCGGAAAATATTTTCTAGTATTACCCCCAAATATCCATATTTCCTATGCCCCCCACCCCATCCCACCACAAATATCAAACGGGACTCTATTTTCTTCAAGAATATTATTCTTTTAACAATTCACACTAATCCAAATGAGTTAATGTGATACTTTACTTAGTGGGAGTTTGGACATAAGGATAGTAAAATTCCAAAAGAAGTTAAAAAAAATAATTCAAGTGAAAATGGTATTTGAAAATTAGAGTTGTGTTTGGACATTAATATAATTTTGGGTTGTTTTTGAATTTTTGTGAATGGTCTGAGTGAATTTTGAAAAACAGCTTTTGGAGTTTTTCAAATTTTTCAAAAAATTTTAAAATTCATCTTCAAGTGAAAATTCGAATTTTTATGGCCAAACACTGATTTCGAAAAAAAAAAGTGAAAATTTTTCAAAAAAGAAGTGGAAATTTTTCAAAATAAAAAAGTGAATTTTTTTATGTCCAAACAAGCTCTTATTCACACAAAATCAACGTTGAAATTTGTGCTCCATAACAAACAAACAAAATACTCTTTGTTTTGTTGAAAAAGAAAATACTCTTTCTACAACACTAAAAGAAAGTACTCGTTTTGTTGAAATGAAAGAAAAATATTTCTACGTAATGAAAAGAACTACTTTTTTGTTAAAATGAAAAGAAATGTCTTTTTTACATTATGACAAAAATACTCATTTTGTTGAAATGAATAAATAAGGTACTCTATCTATAACATGAAAAGAAAGTACTATTAATAATATTTCTATATAAGGTCGGGTTGGGGTAGGGTGGGTTGGTGTGTGGCGGGGTGGGGTGGGAGGTGGGTAGGGCGATGGGTGGGTAGGATAGGGGTGAGGTGGGTGGTGTGGGGGATGGGGAATAGGGTGGGGAAGATTGAAAAGGAGTTTTGAAAAATATATAAAAAAACATGGGAAAAAATGAGTTCATGAGTAAAATATTTTTCAAAATATTTAAACCAATCAAATAATTTACCCTCGGTGAAAAATGAAAATTTCGTCTGATTAAGCTAAATGTTAAGACCTCAAATGTATAAAAGGATCCCAAAATGTTACAATTAGTGGCATATATATATATA